TTGCTGACTTCCTATGTGCTGATTTATACTGCACTTGGTTTACACTGCGTTTTGCTTTTAAAAATCTTACCCCTTTAGTATACATATTTAAACGTGAAATTATTAAAATATAGGTATTTTTAAGTTTATACGAATTTTAATATTGCGGTTTTTAAAATTATGTTTTTTAAAAACTTTTTTTTTATGAATGTTACTGTAATTTTTATGTACAGTCAGGTTTCTGAGCAGTCAAAATTTAAATATTACATAATATTTTCCAATATAAATAACATAATTATCATTAGGTAACAAATCAACGTACGATGATTAACGTATAAGATGATTTGTCTGATCTCTTCATCGTCGTTAACTGTTGGCAAGTTTGGATCGATGCACTTAACACAGCTAACCTTAGAAATAGGAATTCACATTCAACTTGCAAGAGATGGTTTCTTGAGTTTTGCCCATTATCGTCTGTTTTGGACAAATCTTCAATTTCAACGTGGCAGATATATTAAAGTGTAATTGAGTTTTAGTGAATAACGGGTATATGTAATAGGTATACACCTATTTAGATATAATAGAACTGCAACACCAAGCTTACAATTTTCGGGAGACCCTGCTTTATTAATATTTTTCACTAGAAGTCTGTATCATTAACCTCTTTATTGTAATTATAACATTTTACTTAAATTAAAATGTATACCTAATACTATTAACACAAATCGAGTCATTAACATAAGACAAACAAACTAAATTTAAATTACACTGAAATAATGTGCACCGGGTAGAACGATTTACGAGTCTTTCTAAAGAAGAAAAATAATAATAGACAAGTCACTAGTTCATAAAATAAGAGTTTTTTACACTAACATTAACAATAACAGGTATATCTCAAAAACATCTGTGTTTTTAAGAGAACCAAATGAAGAGATAATAAAACGTAATATATTATGTTCTATTATGTTATAGAATACCGATTACTAATTAGACATAGGTACAAATAATATTAAAAACAGTATTACTTATTGCATCAAGATCCATTAATATTTTATTTTATCTAAAATTAGTATTCAAAATAATAAAATGTCATACTCAAAATAATATAGTCCAGAAATTGATGGCGGTGAAGATCAGTAAGATCATAACTTATAAGTGAAAAAATATTTTGCCTTAAAATACCTGTTTTGTTTATTTATATAAGTGGTTGGCGCAACAAGATTGAACATAATATCTCAATTTGATGTTTTGTATTGCATTGGACGACGCTGCGATAGAAAATATCTGAATATTGTTTTCTTATTAAATATAATTAGAACCAGTTTCACAGTAAAAAAATAAAAAATAAAAAACTTTGTAATTATTGAAAAAAGCTAGCCGTTTTTTAAAGAGTAGATTTTTCTAAAAAAAGGTTTACTGGTGTTTTAACGTGTAGACTTCTTAAACAAAAAAAATGTCTGTCATTACGTTAGGTACCTAGACATTTATATTGAACATTTATATAATACACATTTATATGACTAATAAAAAAGCATGGTTGTATTTATAAAGTTATCTCTTATTACGCTTTTATGACCCCTACAAGTATAGTCTATACTGCATAGACGCAAAAAATAAATTTAATATAATATTTTCCTTAGCTTTGAGATCCATTCCAACCTGTACGGGTCTCAGCCGGTCTTTTTTATGTCGACCTAACCGTTTTTTATCGATTCTTCGGTTAACCAACACCTGTATATCAAAATCAAAATACCTAAACTCAAAACGAATATTCCAGCATTGTATATTGTAATTGCTGAGGGACAGCTTTAAGGGCTTATGAACTTGTTTTAGCATTGTATTTGTGTGTAAACTATTGTTATATGTTGTCAGTGACTATTAATAATTATATAAATTGTTGCTGGCCATACTAATTTGAAAGCAAATAAAAAGATTTAAACAAATTGTTTATTTCATATAATATAATATTGTATTTTTCCTATTGTGAAAACTGTCAGTGTATTTTGTAAAACAACTTAGTTAATTATCAAAGGTAGTTATTATTCACCGAAGATTTACACGCAGTTTGGTAAGTATTTGTTGAATTTGTAATAATCTAAAATAATTTATTTTTTATTATACCACGTTAGGGGATTTTACATGAATTTATTATACTAAATATTTATATGGTTATTTGCGTACGATGGATTAGGTTTAATTTTTTTTCGAGAAGTACACATCAATAGATATCTAGGTAGCATCTTCGCCTTGTGCACAGATATTGGAAGCCAAAGATTGATATATTTTGTACATTAGGACTTAGCAGATATAGGGGCTAACCAAATACTCGTGTAACCATAAGGCATTATAAATTTATTGATCGCGACTAATGTAAAATTTTCAAAAATGTACCTGTGCTGTTATAAAGTAGCTACTCAAAAACGTTATTGTTATTATTATTACGGGCTTCTAATAAAACAATACATTTTCATTGAAATCAGATTTTTATTTTAAAACAACCAATACATATTATACAAATAAATGTTTTATCCGAGCATAATATACAAACCTCTTTCGTTGTTATGGTAAATTATTGTCTGTGTTTATTTCTACTAATGTTTGATAATTTTGTTTCAATAATTTATTCTCGTTTAGAATTGTACACTGTTCGTTGCACATTGTTGCATTATTCTTGAAATTTGTTATACGTCAGCGACATGAACAATTACATTGGTAGAATGGCAATCAAAAGGTCGTCAGACAACGACGTTGTCGTCGAACCTCGTCCTACAAAAATTTGGTACAAGTATAGCCGTGTCATACTTTAACTTACATATTATTAAATACTATATATTTTAAATAATTTAAATGTAATTTTTTCAGGAGACCGTCGTCATCATTCACGGCCAACGTGGACACGGCCAACATAGTCATATACCAGGAAGCCGGTGTCGCGGTCGACACCATCGAAGTCAATGGCGATGTGGTCCTTTTCGTCGTGGCCGCAGGAGCAGGTACGGATACCGCGGCCGTTACTGCCGTTACTACCGTCGACGCCGCAGCGGTACCGAGGCGGGCAGTGCGCCGCTTTCTGCGCAGCCGCTATTACCTGCGGCCACGACGAAACCGGTACAATTTTAGACCACGGCCGATGGTAGATTATAGTGTTGAGAATAGTCTACTCGATGACTATTATAGTCAATGATAAATTGATATTATTGTCATTTTTTTTTTTTTTATATAATATATGTCATATATTTTGTTAACGACAATAGAGAAACATATGCGAGACAATGAAATACGGGTGTAATGGGGTTTGAGTTGGCAATCGTCTGGGGGCATTACATTTGTATATTTGTGTGTTTCCTTGTGTTGAAAAACGCAACGGGCGATTGCCAACTTGAACCGTTACACTTGTATTTCGCTGCCCCTTGCATATGTTTCTCTATTGTCGTATAATTTGTACTTATTTGTGATCTTTTTGATTTTTTGCAATTACTTTTGTTGCAACTATTTTTGTTGTGAATATTTTTGTTGTTGAATATGTACATAATTTCTTGTAATTATACAATTGTTTGATAAATGAAACGTCAGCCGTGTTTTTCATTATTTCCTAATGCATAACACAAACAAATTTACAGTGTAATTAAAACCGAAAAAATACTCGAGTATTCGACAAGCGCACTAAAATCTACTGAATGCATATTACTTTGAGCGTTGTGCTTTGCCATAGATAACCTAACCTGACCGGTGTACCATCAGTGTTACAATTATTACAGAATAAAAAAAATTTTATGTATTTTGTTAGCTTTTAATTTACAAAAATATTAAATATGTGAAACCGAAAACGCTCTGCCTAATGAATACGTTCCCTTACAAGTATTCCATAGGTGGACTAAACCAAATTGGTTTGGAAAAATATTTGTTTTTATTGTGATTATAATGGAAATTGCTAATTATAGAGCAACAACACGTCTGGAATCTAAAAGCTTTATTTCAATGTCAAGCCAAACTGATGAGATCGGCCACCGAATTCTACTCGTGTTGTATTTAGTCTGAGACATTTAAACAAAAAATTTGTATTAATGTGGACTAAGCTGTACTGCAGCTGATGAATTTGTCGCATTACAAATAAATAAGATGAAACTCAAAAGTGGGTGATAGCAGTATGAGAAAATTAAAAACAATGAAAAGACAAACTGTTTGATGGCATCACACTTTGTTTGTTCTTTTAATATTCAGTCCATCAGTTATAGACATTATAGTTTTAATTTTCGGGAAGTAAATGTAGGAATTAATTGCTATAAGGTGTAACACAGGCTTTCATCAAGTCCACACGGGTATGAAATCCAATCTACTTGTATATTATCTTATATTAAAGCTAAGACAAATATCTATCTTCCCACCGTTAGTGTGTAGCATTTTGTTTTTTTTCCTATTCACACAAGCTCTTAAAGCTATCAACATTAAATTTCTTTTATTTAATACCGCAAAGATACAAAAACATTTTAGCTATATTAAATTGTCGATTACAATTTACAGCTATCTGTAATACGGCGATTTGTATAGGCAATTTTGGTACGTTCATATAATTAGGTGTTTTGCTGAATTATTGTTTACACGTTTTAAATTATAATGTTAAGGCATTGATTCTAAAATCAATGTTATAAGCTAATATATATTTTTTCCAATTTAAAGTAACAACTAATAATCCCATATAGTTGTCAACCCTTTTTGGTCTTTGCTAAACTTTGGCGAACCTACCATTTTTAGCAGTTTAATTATAATAATAACCGTAATTTAAATGTGTGTGTATACATATAAATCTTAACTGCGAATCAGCTTAGTGCAAAATCTCACAGCCAAAACCTCTTATTTAATCTAATTTGTTGGAGATTTTTACATAGATTTTCAGTTGATTAGTTTTACAACATATTAGAACAAATATTTTACATCTCATGCTAATTTTTTTTCTATTTAAATCGTAAGCTGTAAATAATTATATGTACTAATTTTATTTCTAAGTAAACATGATATTACACGTTAATAGGCAATTTTCAATTTATGGTAAGTATATATTTTTTTCCCAAGTCGACTAAGAGATAATATTAGAGCGGTGTATTTAGCCACACGCCGGCGGACATACCGGAATAATAGTTTCTGTGAACAAAAAAAATGAATACATAATATTAATATATCTGAAAAAAACGAGTGTTTTTCTTACAATTATTTTACAGATTTTCTTTTGGCATTAAAAATGTAATTTGAATTCTTATAATTGTCAATAAACGAGTGTAGAATAATAGTGTGATAAAAAAAAAATACTAATTCATCGAGGAAATGGGAAAATATAATATCTTAAAAGTTAAAATGTTTTGATTATTTTTTTTAAATATTTGACAAGACCTAACACACATACCGTATAGATGGACGACCGCTTCGGTAGTCCCCAAAACGTTGGAAGCTTTGCAGATGTAATCTCCGTATTGTCGTTTTTCAATGGTAATCACACGAATGGTCGTGTCGGTATAATCGTCGGACGAGGCGAAATGAGATATCCTTGAAAAAAATATAAATATATATATACATATATACTTGTAATTGGCCAAACTGTTAACCGTAGGTATACAACCGCGTTGACAAGACTGGACCGGGGTGTCTAACCACTGTTTTGTTTTTCTACTAGCCCTTTGACCCAATAGATTATTATTTTTGATCCGACACGCGGCGGACACTCCGGTAAATGGTTTTTGTAATTTTCAAAATTTTCTACTTACCTGTAATGTTGGTTGTTCAAAAGTTGTACGCCGTTGTTCACCCACGAAATGGCTGGTGGCGGATAAGCTTCGACGTGGCACTCCAAGTCCATGTCGCTCTGGAGAGCTTGGCCTAGACGTGGTTTAGGGACACTAATGACGGGAGCAAACTGCACTTCCACGGCTATATTGCGACGGGCACCTCGTCCAACACCGTTTTCGGCGATACAATAGTACGTTCCACGGTCTTCTTTGGTTACACGAGGGATGTGCAGAATATTTCCCCTGAACAATTTTATTAAAATCATCATAAAATAACTAAACGTGAAATATAATGTATTCGAGTACCTAATTAATTAACACATTTTTTATTTGAATTGTTTTTTTTTACTTCTTACAAAGAACACCGAGTTTACACGTTGTATTTTATACTTATTTCAATTTTGATTATCATTTTTTACTATCTATTTAATTTAATGTTATGAATTTGATTATTACCATTATTAACAAAAAATAGCTATGTATAAAATTATTGAGAGGTAAACTGTGTCATCTGTAGTGAGCAGTACTTAAGCTATATATTTTTTAATTAATAAAGTTGTATATTTATATATATATATACGTCTACGCGTCCAACGAACCAATAGCGTTTTGATCACTAATTATGTTTTATTTTTAGCCAAAAAGCTCTGAGCTGTGAATTTTTAATAAATACCTACAAACACAAATTATTGCCTGCACATCTCATTTCTGAGCTGATTAAATGTAGGTTAGCTTGTTATTTTCGCTCCATCTTGATAGATACGAAGAAATATGCTCAAATCGGTTTGAGCACATATTATTAAGGATCTTTGTTTAAATTGCCAATACAATTTTGTAATGCTAGGTGATTTAAATTATGTACACATAGGACCGTGATAACAGGTATCGTGTAATAAATGTTGTAGTTACTACTTAGTGAATAAATAGTATCGTTAACTAAAAATTTAGCCGAGTCGATTTCAATTAAGGTAAATGATAATTGAACCCTTTGTTAGGTGCCTAGAGCCAACTAGGGACATTGAATTTCCCGAGAATCCACCGGATCCCGTCAATGCTTAGCACGGGGTCATTCGCCGTATACTATTTTATTAATTACAGTCTTCCCCCAAGACGTTCATAGTGTTTTTTTATTGATGTCTAATTTCGTGTATTGCCCTTTACCTGTAAATCGATCGGCCGGTCGATAGGATACCGTTGTTGACTCTTCGCCAAGACACTCTGGGCACAGGAAAACCGCCGGCATAACATTCCAGTTTGACGGCTTGCCCTTCGTTGACGATTAACGACCTGGTGGAGTTGTCGGATATGACGGGAGGACGGCGGATTTCCAGTTCCACTTCGGCGGTTATTTTACTACTGAGACCCATCAATATTTGACACTCGTATATGCCGGCGTCCGTCTCTTGTATTTGTTTTATCTATACACACACACACACACGTTAAAGCAATTGATTACAATAATATTATATCATAAGTACTGCTCACTACAACTACGGCTTGAGTTGCCCGGACGGCACAGTTTACCTCTCAAAATAATTTTATACATAGGTAGCTATTTTTGTTGACAATGGTAATAACAACATTGAATTTAATTAAACACAGTTAGTAAAAAAAAAAAAACTAACTATCGAGTATCCACACTATACAAGCGGATACATAGACACATTTATATGTCTTTATATTCAAGTATAAGACTCTGAAACTTGTGGGTACTTTTCTTACTTCTAATCCCTAATCTCATACCTCTTATCTTATGTCACGTATCTCTAATATCTTATCTTTTATCTCTAATCCATATCTTATCTCTTTTCTCTAATCCATTATCTCTAATATTTTTCTCTAATCTAGTATATCTGATATCTTATGTCTAATCTATGATATCAAATCCATTATCTCTAATCTAGTGTCCCTAGTATCCTATATCTAATACATTATCTCTATTTTATCTCTAATTGTTTATCCTTATCTTATCTCTCCCCCTCCTTCCTCCATTACCGCTGAATGTGACGTCAGAGTGTGACACCCAGCGTTACGTTTCGGACAAATTTTTACAATGGCCCCCAGCGATAAAACATATACATGTTAAAATAGGTAATTAATATATTGTGTATAAATTGCCAATTATTTTATCAATAGTTTACATACACCGTACAGCGGTTACTGGTTGGACTTACCTGAAGGGTGAAACTATCGCCTTTTTGCAGCAGTTCGAATCTGGTGTCCTTGAGGACCAGAGTACCGCCCAAGGATATGGTGACGGGCTCTATGCTGTGTTCGCTGTTGATCTTTGTCCAAATAACCGGAAACTCTTGAGAGTACAGTACCGTACAAGTCAACTCCACAGTTCCCCCGACGTCTTTGATGGGTTTCTGTGTTATGTGAGTAATGGTCGGTGTCCTCTGACCCAAGACTACAATATGAATATTTCAAAAAGAAAAACTGTTCTTAAAAAATTGTTTTCACCGAAAACAGTAGATAGGTATGATTTTATACCGCGCATTATGCATCAAAGATTAAAAGGAAAAACTACACACTCTGGTTGAAATACTAAGAAGTTAAGATTAAGTACGGAGTTCGACATTTTTTGAGTACTATAAATACACAATACACGTCATATATTTGTATACTTAATACCGGAATTAGGGTGGGGGTGCACAAAGAAAGAAACAAGTGTTTTATTAGTTAGACCTCTGTACATATATTTACTTGGTATTGGGAATGGGACATTATTTGAATAATCATTTTTCAACTAGACGAAGCGGTGGACAAATTATTTTATTTTGTTTTATCATTTATTATTATCCGATTAATTATATATGACACAATTAATTCTATTATTAGGATTTGTTAACATAATATTTGTTTAAATGGTTAAATAGAAAAAAATAGATCCAATTTTTTAACTATCTAAAATAAAACAAAGAATTTAAGATAAAAAAAAAATGTTAGAAACCGTTTTTATATATTTTTTAAATGTATTAATACATTTGAAATTATCTGATAGATTATCACATTATCCAACAAATTATCCACCATTAATTATCTTATTTAAACGTGTAGTACAACTCTGTCTTGTGCTTTTACAGAATGCCTATAAGGTCTTTCTGATAGCATATGACAGTCGTTAAGGATCTGTGCCAACTCATAAATACCTACCCATGTAAAGAATTATTTGTATTTTACAAGTCTTTTATAGATGCACCTAACCTAACCTATTGTTGAAATCATATATTTTGCAATAATTTGATTGGCGCAATTTAATAATGTTTTCTGAAAACTACATCATGTCACAGCTAAAACCAATAAAGTATCGTTAATTTATTTATTTAATCAAACCGAGATGAGATAGTTGTAATAGTTTCTCAAGTCACTTGAATAATATTGTATTCAACGTAGGTAAAGCTTATATTACAATATAATATATAGATAACTGATGTAGTAAACATTGTAATGTGATATTATTTCATAGTGTACTTACCCAATAAAAAATCGACCACCGCGTAGAAAAAAAAACACTTTTCATGTTAACACACATTTTTTTGCTATCGCAGTAACAACCTTCACGTTAGCGAGCATCAGAACACAATGAAGGCTGTTCGTAAAGGAATAAGGATCCAAGATTAAAGATTAAGCGCAGGTAACTACTTGGGTTTTGTTACTCAAAAGACAGCCTTTTGTACTTATGGAAGGGACAGACAAGGTATTGAAATCCGAGAACCGCGCAACAAGTGGCTGTACCGAAGAATGTGAGCTGCTGTTAAAAAAAAAAAAATGACAAAAATCATAAGTATTCTTGTAAATATGTTTGAAATCTGTAACATATTGAGTTGATATTTTATAATTATAAACCAGAGAAATGAAAACCTTGTGTTTATATTAATAATATTAATAACAATTAACAATTCATGTTTAAATGTTGTGCATAGGTATTTAGATTTTTACTATAATCTTTAAATAAAATAGTGCTATAACAGTATTTTGAGTACAGTTTCATTGCTGACATTGCAAGTTAGTATATGTATATTGGGTATTCCTGCGACGGATCTTATGATGGCAGCGTTAATCTTTAAAAGTTAAAAAGCATTTAAGCTGGCGATGATGATGATAATGTAGATATTTTATGTTGGGTTAAAGTGTTAAATTAATTAATTAAATTGATAACATCGATGGATACCAATTATGGAGTTTTGTTTTTTTTTAAATAAAATTATAATATGTACTAACCCAACAATCAGCATGCTATATTATCATGTATATTATAAATATTATTACACTACACTAGGGCGACATAATTACCTAAAAAAGAGCGCTTGCAATTCCCAATGCCAAAAACCATTTGAAGTCCCTTTACAGGTAAACGCGCAATGCTTTTGATTTCACTGGGGGATTTTTTTTTAACGGTCTTAGACCTGAACATACATGGTAGGTATATAACATAATTTACTCTCTCTTTGCGAAGTAGGTACGAAAAATAGTACAATATTATATAGTTAAAAATGATTGAAAATAGACATAAGTATTCAATATTATCATAGTACAGTAATAAAAGTATTGACCCCCCCCCTCCTAGCTACTCTAACACGACCATCTTGTTTGCCTCGCTCCTTACTAATGGGTTTGACCAGCCAACATCTCTTTTTAGCAGTTAACAGAGCAGTTTAATATAGATAGTTAACAAAAATTTGTATAAAGGGTGATTCATCTGAAAATAAGATACTAATTTTCTCAGAAAACATAAATATTTTTAAAAAAAATTTTCCTATACTTGTGGGCACATTTTACTTTGTATATTTTTACTTTATACATTATATTTTACTATATTCTTAAGCATGTTGAACATTTTTTTCACCGTGTATGCATAATAAGTTCTGTAACAACAACGAAAAGCGCTAATCAAGTATTACAGTAATTTTAGTAACTTTCAGATATCAACAATAATACTTTATACATTAAATATGAAAAAAAAACCAGCTTAACCTTTTCAACCCTTTAATAATATTTTTTCTTTTAAAGGAGGAATAGTTTTGTTTTTCTTTTTGTTTATAACAAGTTATTATACTTCGTACAGGCAATTATTTCATTTTATAGTGTTCGATTAATCCTCTTTTACTTAGTTTAACCTTAAGTTTAAATACCTTAGTAAGAAAGAAAATACTCTCCTCGGACACGGTTAAAAGAATATGTGTTTATTTACTTATTACAATACATACGACAACGGATATTTTTAAAGTAATTATTATAACTTTAGTAACAATCGTATGTAGCATTATTATGTATTAGTATCAGATGTATTAAATAAAAATCCATCGTTTCTTGTAGGTAGGCAAATCCCGATTTGAAAGCCCACCTTTACTTAAAAAATGCACATAAATAGTACCTACCTAGCTATTAAGTTTAACCAATGATTAAATGAATACAATTTATTTTAATGGTTTGTAAATAATTGATCGAATACGAATATTGTTCACAGCTGGAACTTTTCCATTACATTTATTTAGATCATGGGTAAACAATATCTACATCTATAGTAGATTATACATACTATTATAATATTTATCATTCATTAAATTCAATAGCACCGTATTTAAACAATGCTAGTACAGTAGTATCGCAGATTAAATGAAACGTTTTATTAAACGAAATGTTTCTTTTTACACTTAATCTGAGCTGGTACCTTACATTGAACCACGATTATAGATTATCAGCTATAATCGTGCATTGAACTACATTGCCTGTTATTCGAGAAACTAGGTTTCACCTGTTATCAGCTACGTGTAATACTATGGTATCGGTGATAACGAACAATGTGATACCACAGCCCTAGCTGCCTATATGGCGTATACCGCAGCTAGCGGCTATCGGTTTGTTTGTGTTTAAACTAAACCGTGTTGCGATATTTATAAGTTATGATAGTAGAAAGTAGTGTAATGTGTTGTTAGTATTATTGTAATTTGTAGAAAACATTTAAATTATATTATAATATATTTTACCAAATACCAAATTTTAATTTTATCTAAACTCAATGTCGTAATAGAATATCAGCAAAAATGGTTGCGAATTACACAAATGATAACGGTAAGCGCTAAATTTATTATTTAAACATTTTTAAAAACAAATAATATTAATTCATATATATAAATAGATGCCAGTGACTCTGAATCTGTGTCGAGTTCATCATCTGCAATTAGCAGCAACCAGTCTTCTAGATCTGCGTCGCCTGCACCGCGAGCTCATACTCCGTCAGGATCGGAACCACCGTCGCCTGGATCGAGATCTCGTTCTAGAAGTCATTCGGGATCAGCGTCTCCTCCTAGAAGTCCGTCTAAATCCCCCTTGGCATCTCGTTCACAATCACCGGTTAGCAGAGCTTCTAGTATTGCTTCGCCTGTGTCTGCCACGTCAGGTCGTTCACCATCGCCGGCAGCCTCTGTAACGTCAGTTCAGTCTGCGGCAAGTAACAAAAGTGATACATCTCATGCCAGCCATTCGACTAATCGCAGTCGTGCGTCCTCGACCAAAAGCAATAAGTCTAAATATAGTTCTGCCAGCCAAAAGAGTGTCGCTTCTAAAAAATCACATTCGCCATCCCCAGAAGTGCAAAAAACCCTACGAGAAGACTCCGATAGTGATGGATCCATGATAGGTAGAAAAAAACGTAAGCCAGTAAGGAAAAGTTCCAGCGTTTCAGGTGATGAATCATCTGGTAAAGAAGACAAAGCAAAACATAGTGGTTCTGATGTTGCTTCAGTGCAATGTAAGTTTATTCCTTTTTTCATTTTTTTCCCCTTGATTCTAAATACTTACTTAATTTTTCACTGTAGCACCAAAGGAAAATGACCTGTTTGGAGATGCAGACGATATTAGTTCTGACGAAGAGCAACCAAAAACACCTAAGCCGGTAAGTGATGATGACGATGATAATGATCATGAAAGAGATCGTGAAAAGAGTGATGATGATGAAAGAAGGAGTGATGAGGAAGAAAACGATAAAGCTGACGATGAAAAAGATAAAGAAGCCGAAGAACCCATACCAGAAAGACGGATAGCTGTTGAAATACCAAAAATATCTGTAGATCTTGGTAACGATTTACATTTCGTAAAGTTACCTAATTTTTTATCAGTCGAAACTAGACCATATGACAGAGACACGTACGAAGACGAAATCGATGAAGAAGAAACGTTAGACGAAGAAGGACGAGCCAGGTTAATATATTTTCACTTCTTACTAATTTAAATATATATATATATATATATATCTGTATGTGTTTATATTTTTTATTTCAGGGTAAAGCTAAAAGTTGAAAACACTATAAGATGGCGAGAAGTTTTCGATAAAGATGGTAACGTAGTTAAAGAAAGCAATGCACGAGTTATTAAATGGTCCGATGGTAGTATGTCGTTACATTTGGGGTCAGAAATCTTTGACGTCTACAAACAGCCACTTGTGGTAACTATTTTATTTAATTAATTATGTGTAAAAATTATGATATTTGTAAACTTCAGCAGTTAACTTTTTTTTTCAATTCAATTTTTAACTAAACATATATTAATTGGATGATATCATACTCAATAAAACATGGCGAGGCCTCATAGGAGAGAATGATATTATGTCTATTCACTGTATTTTAAAATTAACATACCAAATAATGTTATACATATTATAAGTACAATATTTGTTTATTGTGTCAATGACTAAAAAGTCACACTTTGCCACTTCTTTTAAATTAGTTTATTATAATTTAGTCTTAATTTTTTTGTTTTAACGTTTTTAAATTTGTATTGTTGTGTTACAGGGCGACCACAATCATTTATTCATTCGTCAAGGTACGGGTTTACAGGGTCAAGCAGTGTTCCGAACTAAACTCTCGTTCCGACCTCATTCGACAGAGTCTTTCACTCACCGTAAAATAACATTGTCGCTAGCTGATAGGTCACAAAAGACGTCCGGCATTAAAGTATTATCTCAGGTCGGCGCCGACCCAGACGCTAACAGATACGAAAAAATAAAAGTAAGTAAAAATGTATTGATACAAACTGTTTAAAACAGTTTGTATTCTTTCCTAACATTAACCATATAAAAATAAATTAATATATATTTTTTAAAAATTTCTATCATAGAGAGAAGAAGAAAAATTGCGTCAATCAATGCGTAAAGAAACTAAAGTCAAAAGAGCCAGAGAACGAGGGGCCAACAGTAATCTTAGTTCGTCTTACTTGGAACCAGAAAGAGAAGATGGATCTGATGATGAAAATGCCATATCTTTGTCTGCTATTAAAAACAAATTCAACAAAAAAGCAGCAAATACGTCAAAGAGTAAGTGTATAATTGTTTTCATTTAAAAATAAACTTGCCAATACTAAAACAATTAATGTTATTATTGTTGACAATACACTATTGTTCTTAATAGAAAAAAATTGAAAAGATTTTTGTATTTAAGATAATACAATTATATTGTACATTTTCAGTTAACAAGAGTAACATCTATTCATCTGAAGACGATAGCTCAGACATGGACACTAAGAAAAAAAGACAATCCAGAGTGATGTCCGATTCTGAAGAAGATTAAAACAACGTGTTATTACATCGGTTTTGTAATTATTATTATTATTATTTTTTTTTTTTTTTTAAGTATTGAACAAATTGTATGTAAAATGAAAACTTTCATAAAATCGATCGTGTTGTTGCTATTTTATTAGGTAAACTAAAATCCAGAAAATTAATGGCTTAATTATTAAAAACAACGCCATATACACAAAATGACTTTTTTACGGGAGAGTAGTTTCAAGATTTTTCTTTAGGTTTGTTTACAGTACATTATTAATTTTTTTAAAAACTCATATTTTGTGTGCTTGTAACATGGATTGACAAACAAAAAAAACACTTTTCACAAAGAGCAAAATAATAATAACTTTTTTATATTAATGGATAGTTTTTTTATATTTTTATCAAGAGTTTTTTGAAGAATCAGGCAATCAGACTATGTTAACATTAGAAGTAATGATAAAATACTTTTTTCCTTTTTGGTTAAATCAACAATTTTAATAAATACACTTATTTGAAACGGGATTTGTACACAAATACATTTCCATAGAAACTTTCCAATAAACACTTGAGTGTCCTACAGATTTTTTAATTATAACTCTTATTTAGTTCAACATAATTATAATAGCATGATGGTGATGACTTATTTGGGTTGGCACATTTAAGCATACGAATAGTACACTTAATTGTTGGATGTGTTAAAATTTTTCCAGTTTTAGAAAGTACTAAACAATACTTACTAACGTTTAGTTAGATAATAGTTGAAGTAAATATTGTTCCCAATAAAGTTTTTTCCATGATAAAGAGCATCATTAAAAAAGTTAACAAGAAATCAAGAAACTTCAAAACTGTATAAAATAATTTGCTTTTGACCTATAAACGTTATTAATAATACTCATTTGCTTTTACGGTGTTATTATCTACAGAGATTTATACTGTTAAAAAAAAAAAAATTATATCTGTTTATAAAATGGCAATGATTGACTTTTGATTTCAAGTTAAATTCAATTGTTAAGGTTGAAATTAGTTAAATTAATTAATTTCAGTTCGTTTGAGGGGAAAAAACTAATTTTACCTCATTTTTCTTATTTTTTTCATTGATTTTTGTGTAGGTAACTGTAATATTTTTCTACAATCATTAAATCAGCCCAAAAACTATAAAATCATGTACTTACAAGTATGTAAATGATTACAAAAACAATTAAGTCAAGTTAAAAGGTTTTGAGTTACAATAATTTACAATAAAAGCACTGTTTTGCTTTTCAGAGTTTTTTTAGCTAATTTTTTGGTTGTTTGTGCCTAACCAAAAAAAAAAAGAAATGTATTGCGCCTAATAGAAGTCTTTCTCTATAAAAAAAAAAAAACATATATATATAATATATTAAAACTGGACCACTATGAGAGTTAAGAGCACTGTCTCATAGTCATTACTCGCCCCATTAAAAATCACACATAAGTCATAACATCGGTTTGACAAGTATAATAGTACAGTGTACGGATTTTGAGAGATGATGATTTAATAATTATATACCAAGAACCCCCAAAAAAAAAATCTCTGCTAGGTACTTTTGTTGTCACAGGTCCGGGGACACCTGTCACCTAACCTATATGAAATAAAATAATTATGCTACTTGAATGTCATCATTTGTTCACAAAGAACAGGTGAATTATTATTTTGACATTATTGAAAAAAAAACAAAATTTTGCTAAACGGTGTTTTACGAAAAATGCACTCTGTTTTTTACACAGTAAAGTTGTCGAGTCATATATTCGCTTGAAACGATTATATTATTTTAACCTACTTCTGTGAAAAGACTGAAATAAAAAAACCATTAAAATCCACATCCTATTTCCTCGTCCCCGAAATAACTTTGTTACTAACCTAATATATGGTAAAAGTAACAAATGGAAAGCAACGATGAAAACAAAAGCAATAATATAAACCAATCAATAGGCGCGTGTTAAAAAGAAAAATGGTTACAGACATTTTGTGGTAATTTTTGCATTCTTAAAAAACTGTCCACTCAAATGCAGTTCCTGCTAAGCGGTTAGCATAGGTATAGTGCTTAAAAAATACTGACCTATCCAATTATAAAAACTTCAAAATACTACCAAAATAAAAATATGATTATGATAAGCTGCAAATAATATTTTCTAATACATAACACACCAACAGTATAAATAGCCAATAGGTACCTAATATGATATAGAAAGAACCACTTATATGTATATTATATTATTATCTGTAGTCAGTAGCAATAGGTTATGACTTATATAACGCTAGTAGAAAGTCAGTATTATAATTAATATTATACTATATATTGTGTGGGTCACAAAGATTTATATATGCATTTGATATATAAATCAGTCAAAATCTCTCGGCCCAACTTGTATTAATATATAAACATTTCTAAAAAAAAACTGTCGAATTCATGTATCAAAAAATATAAAATAATTGGAATTTATTGCAAGACTCGCGTTCCTTGTAACAAAACTATTATTTTCCTTTCACCCATTTACTTAATAGTTACAATACATTGTATTTTATCAATGTTTCACCTTAGATGTAACTATAGCTAGGCTTGTCAACTTTAGATTTAAGAACCACCACCAAAAAAAAAAAAAATATTTTAAAGGTAGATGAGAACTCATAATTCCAAAATATAAACTTGTTATAATAATCAATAACAATAATAATTTTCAATAGCATTCAAATAACAGATTGTAATATTCTTATGAATAAAGTAAAATGTTGTTGAACACTAAAAAAAATAATGTACGGTTGTAATAAAATATGAATACAGTTGTTATTCCATTAAATACAAGAGACTCATTTTGTCTTAAAATAATTATTGCTATTTTGTAGTTTTTCTTTTTCTAGTCACTCCAGTTCAATGTGTTATTTTACAAGAATAGGAAAAATTAAAAATTTTTTTTATTTTTTTCCAGAGCTCAACCAACTGTTAAAACGTAAACGGTAATGTATTTACAATTTAATTAACTTTTTAAAAGAACAACACCTAATTTCACCGATCCATAACCAGTTTTGAATAATTATTTTCAAAGTTATTTGAATTTAAATCACTTTGGTGAAGTGCGGTTTTGTAATGAGTGTCTGATCCGTATAATGAATCACGCTGTATACCCGGGGGCTTGAGCCCCTTTGAGATTTTGTGTCGATTATCGATCCCGGCCAGGTAGATCGTGGTGACCACCGCTAGAGGGCGTTAAACGCGCGCCGCCGTGATCCAAAGCGGTGTCCGTCGCGCGATTAACCACCCGCAGTCCCGCCATCGTGTGTGTGCGTTCGATCCGTTGTTTGTGTTGTTTAACGTTGTTGACTGTTGTCTGTTGACGTTGTAGTCTCGTAGTGAGTAGTCGTAGCCCGCGGACGGTGCCCAGACGGTGTTAAGCCGGTGTTAGTGTTGTTGTTGTTGTTGTCGTTGTTCCCGTTTTTGTCATCGTCTTCCTTTTTTTTTTTTACTACCGCTTTCTTGGATGAAAAGGAAATCGGTTTCCCATTTCCAGACTTGTTCCCGAATTATGTAAAAGGAAACAAAACGGACACGGATCAAACGGAAGTAGTTCCCGCTGTTGTCTGAGACAAGAGATTCCACGTTATTCTTTCAAACTGCTTCCTAGTCGCTGTCACAAGTCACAAGTAAGTGCATTCCAAGTGTAATTTACAATTTAGCTTACCATGTAATGCAACCGGTGCATGTGCACCCATCGAAGGGTCATGTAATTTTTAAATTTTCAACAAGTCTAATAAGTGTGTATTTCTTTATTTTCTTATAACATATATTATGTTTCTTAATTCTTAGCAAAAAAAAAAGCATTAATTTTGGTCAATAAAAGTTTGGTGGGTAGGTATAATTTTATCCGACTGCATGTGCTGTTATACCACTGAGCACCACTGATTTATACTCTAAGCATAGTAAAGTCTCGACACTAGAATTTCGATGGCCTAATATTGAAAAAAATGTTATTTTACTTAACGTTTGGCAACGGCATTACTTAAATCACATTTTGTCGTTTTACGTTTTCCAGCGGTCGAAATTTACTTTTTTTATTTACTGCAATTTGGCAAAAAAAAAAACCTTATATTCTTCACAATATACAATTAACAGCTCATGTTGGCCAAAATTGTACTCGCATCATTTTGTAATATTAACCCATTGTTGTTGTTGTATCAACAAACTATCTAATTTATGATTTGCCGTTTAAAAATATATATTTGGCTAAGTTTTGGGGAAGAAAATGACATGGTTTAAAAGCAAAATAAAGTTTAATCAAAATGTTGAGAGATTTGTACACGGTGTCATTAACGTAGATTTTGAATTTTAGTCATGGTCACAAAAACGACGCTTCTCTATATTAGTTGTGTCCGTTATCATTCAGATAGTGACAATTCAATTTTAGAGGACATCATAAAATATAGGAAATAGAATTATTTTATGCATGGAATTTGGAATCAATGTCATAACTATATTTTATGTTGAACAAATTTTTGCTTTGATGTGAAGTTAATACTATTCGTATTATAATAGTATTAGTTTAATATAATTACTGTGTTGCTTGCTACTTGTTCAATTACCTAAGCAATGAATGTTATTAGTCATGAGTTTATTCTCTTGCATTGAATACATACATAATATTATCATAATATACTATTTGCATTATCTTGTCGACAATCATACTGAATACTGACTGACAACTATAATAGACTTTTATTTTTTAATTTTTAACTGTTTCAATCTTTACATAATATTTTATTTTATTTTATCTTTTAGAGTGAATTTCATTATTTGAAATATTTTATTCCTTACATTTTTATCTTTTAAATTATTTGGATAACAAATTATATATAAAATACAAAATGCAATTTTAATTAATTGTTTTTAAACTGAATGCTTTTATGACAGTGTTTACAAGTTTAGCGTAACATTTAATTGTAGTTGAGCCTATGATTATGATATTGTTAAATTAAACTTAATCTCAAATTGTTACTAGTATTAGATATTTGTATAATAAAATAAGTAGTCTTGGGAAGCTCTTTACTTTTCCGGGTTCATTGCCTGTTTGAAGCCGAGATCCATGGCACAGGGTGTGGATAGCGGCTCGGGACAGTTTACAAAAATGTATTCATCAATGTACAAGTTTACCATTCAAAAGTTATCAACGATTTGGTTTGGCTCGAATCGCCAGCTAAGTTTGCGCCTCTCTCATTAATTGAGTTATCAGTTAAGATCAAAAGTCATATTATTTTTAATGGAGTTGTTTTACTGTATAATTGGACAATGATGTTAATTTATAGTTTTTTTTTTAAATTTTGAATGTTAATATCATACTAATTTATGAATAAAAAATTTTAAATTGCTAATCAACAGGTATTATAATAAGCTTGGTACTTATTCCATTGATGGTTTAATAATTAAGTATATTTTCTTCCGTTTACGCTATGTGTAGGTTAATTACTAAGTAATAAACTAACCACATCTTTTTTTAAATAACTTAATTATTTAGTTATATTTTATTTGCATTTTGCATGTACATTTTAAAGTAAAATATTGTTTAGAGTAGAAGTTACTGCAGTCTTCTTACTTTTGCTCTGTAAAAAAAAAAAGGATATATTTTTACACTAAAATAAAAATATATTGTGAAAAAATATAATATCATTAAATAAAAATATATCAAGCAACAATATTGAAGTAATTAGATCTAAAATGTTACCAGTGAAATTTTTGTTGATCACAAACAACGACGATACTTTTTCCATGTCAGTTTGTTTTACAACTTGTTGCCAATTTTCGAAAGAGATATTGATGAAGGAAATGTATAAACATCATCACTATAAGGAAACGATTAAAAAATTGTTTTTCATTTCGCTCTCCTGTACAGTTTAATAAAAGTGACTTGTAATACATTCTATTGGAAGAAAAAAAACGTGAGTTCTGATCTTTGAAGCACGTGTACTTGCGGTTGTTTAACGCGTTTTAAAATTGCACCGACGGTCGTTGACCCATTTTGGCATGCTATTGATGAATATCAAGAGCAATTTTACTAGTCTAATCGAATATAAGGGAAAATGTTGTTTAGTGTGCGCGGTCGAAGGGAAATTGGCGGCATTGTTAGATTTGTTTTTGGAATTATTGCTATTTGTAGTGTCCGGTAAATTGCACAGGCAAGTAGTAGGCACGGTGGAGATTCTCTCTCATTTGCCGCCTAGGTTCGACCCAGTTTTGGTAGTGTGGATTAAAAAAAAAAAAAAAACACGTTTCCCGAGTTGATGTGATATGTTGTGGCATTCCCTATAAGTTGTTCTTGAAAGACGACTGGTTATAGCAGCAACATGGTCTATTAACAATCGTTTTTTTTAAAATTTTTTTTTTATTGAGACATAACGCACACGACGTGTGTCATAGTTGACTCTCGTTTTGCTATTTGACCTGTTTCAAACGGTTTGGCCTTGACCGCCGCCGCCGCCGCCTAGGTAACCAATTAACGTGTTAAAAGTGCACCTATTTTATTTATGATCTGTGACCGATTTTTCCCCTTGGCGTATTTGCCTTGTTTCACACTTTACGATTACACAGGTGGTGTCGTGGACGATAATACCTAATAATATAATATAACACATTTTATTATTGTAGTTGTCTTGTCGACGACCGCCGTCTTTGTTCAAACGCACGTGGAGCAGAAGATTGTGCCGTCCACTGACCTTGGTGAAATCAGTTCCTGATGTATTTTAAGGCTTTATTTGGTCGATACATAAACACACACACACTCACACACATAGATGATTTACGTGTACTTGGTATAGGTTCGGTTTGAATGTGGAAAATGAAAATAAGTGGTAATAAATCAAATCATTTTTCAAAAGATATAAACACCCGTATCGGATTCGACAAATAAAAATTGTTTTCTTTCGCTTTGTCCGTTTCTCCGTGTATGCTCGTTAGTTTGAATTGATGTTGGTAATAATCATATTATCCTTTTTTTTTTTTTGGACTTTCGGGTTGCCCTTGTATTTGTGTTGCAAAGTCAACCGTTTAACTTTTTAATACCTTCACCGAGCATAACTGAAAGCACAGTTCAAAAAGCACATGCAAATTCTAACCCAACTGGATACATTGATGTTATGTATACAAGTTAAAAATCATAATATGTTATTAAGCTTGCCGATGATAATAAAGATAAACAATAATTATTGTAAAAAAAAAAAACACAACTACTGAATGTCTTCGTTTGCTTAATATGTAAATACCAACATGTACATAATAATTAAAACAAAAAACGACTTACGTTATTAGTCATTTTAATTTTTTTTTTTTGTTATCGACTTGAACTATAAAGAACTCGCTCGTTGTAGGTATATATCAAATAATAATTAGGCAATTATTATTATTTATTTCTAGTAATATCATATATATGACTATATTGTAATGTTACATATTATCATAAGTGTGTTGAAGTCGATTTTCAAATACTTAAGACGTTCTATTTGTTTGTTTTTATACAATTCATGGGGCACTTTTTCCACAAACTTTTTATTTTTACTATTAATATGTATACAAAGCAAGTTCATTAAATCAAAAGGAGAGCGCAAGTTATTCTGTTAAAATTATATATATTATATATATATGCGGTTTTCGTGGCTTAAAGATCTTAAGTAGCTTGGTGAAAAAAAAGGTATATTTTGTTTTAACACGACTACTCTTGTACGTTTAGGTGCTATAATATATCAAACCCTTAAAACTGTCGTTAACAGTTTTGGCACCGTCCAAACTCCAAAAGACATCATAACACAACCTTGGTGTATTTTGATCTCGTGTAGTAATCTCCTTATGCTCAAAAATACACTTAAAATTTACACAGTTATATAGCAGTTAATTAAAAAAATAAACACAGCACAGCCTTCGCGCTCGAGCAGCGTGTAACCTACACATTTTTATATGATATTATTTTCGTGCACCGTAAATTACTTTTTCGACTTAAGTATACATCCGAACGGGGCAGCAATATTAATATACCGTGTATTTGAATGGAACACTAATTTTCTCACATGTGTTCAAGCGTGGTATCGTTATGCATTGTGACCGGAGACGGCATTTGTATATGTAAAAAGATCATACTAGTTTTCGACGGCGGCCAAAGATATTATTCCATTTTGGACTACTCGGACCGTGGTGGTGCTGCATTTATATAGGTTTTTTTTTTTTTTTTGAATCGCCATCATTACACGGTGTATTATGGATGTGGATTATAAAAAATGTACAATATTGTTGTATACAAATGCCCTCTGACCTGTCGATAAAAAAACGACTCGCCCGTCGTTAAAGCGCGGCAACTATTAAAAAATACACACATCCATCTCTAAAGGTAGGAAACTGGAAACCTATTACTAGCCGTGCCCTGTGTAATTTTAATGTAATTATTATTGCAAACGGCAGCTTTTTATTAGAGTTCACTTGGAAATCCATTAGCAGGGCTCACTGTTTCCTTTAGATAAAGCGTTTTTTTTTTGTGTCTGCAATTATTATGTTTTATGAACAAAATATAATGTAGCGTGGAAATAATATGAACAATATTGCGACCTGTAAAAACCCATTCTCGACGACTCGGGTAGGTTAATCTTTAACCTGTAAATAAATGACCTTA